AATATCTTGCCCTATATAAAAACACTTTTATGTAACTGAAAAAGAAAAACCAATCAAACAACCAAACAACACTGCCATCATGATTTCTAATATTGTGAATAATGTTTGCTGTGTTTGAAGCTGATGGAGAAATGAACACACACACACACACACACACACACACACACACACACACACACACACGTGTTCATAGCAAAATGTCAAAGTATCTTGTGATATACTATTATGGATATTTCTCTATAGCTCTATAAGTGTGTGTGTGTGTGTGTGTGTGTGTGTGTGTGTGTGTGCAGATACATGTGTAGGAGTGTGGACTTATGTATGGAAGCCAGGGGACAATCTCAGTTGTTGTTCCTCAGGCTCTGTATACTTCCCGCCTCCCTACCCTCGCCCATTTCTTTTGGATACAGAATATCTCCCTGGCTTGGAACTCATCATGAAGATAGTAAGTCCCAGGAATCCTCCCGTCTCCACCTATCCAGAGCTGGAGCTACTAGGGTGAGCTACTATACCTGACTTTTAAAAAATTTCATGAGAATTCTAGGGGTCAAACATAGGTGCCTGTGCTTGTAAAAGAAGCCCTTTACCAAACTAGCTGCCTCCCGGCCTGTAATTCCATCCATCCATCCATTCATCCATCCATACATACATACAATATATAATTTAGCAACCATCATCTCAGAACCTAAAAATGGGTAAATTGGGGCATGGAGAAGTCACCTAAATAAGCCAGTAGTCAATTAGAACTTAGTCCTAGTAATGCCTAAGCTGCTTTGTGGGACATCCTGTCTCCTAAAGATCGATCAGGAGAATCTCAAGGTCAAGTGTCCAGCCACATTGATTCTGTTGGCTCTGGGTAACAGCATGCACTGAGGGTTTGTCTCACCTCTTCTTAGCTGTGTGACTGTGGACCTCAGTTTTGCTGTGTGGGAAATGGGGCTGCAAACAGTCCCATCTGAGAGCACCATTAGCAGACTCTAGGAGAGGATGCTTCAAAAGTGTGCTTAAGAGAGTGTGACCTGGGGACATGATTGCTTCTGCTTGGTGGGGTACAGCTTTCAGTTTGGGGTTCAGAAAAACACTCTAACACTCATCTACATGATTTCTGGTTTTTTCCTTTTCCTTTTTCATTTGTTTTAGTTTACAGAAGTTAGTTGGCATAGGCATCAATTGTGAAATAGGAAGAGTGATTTTGGCAAACAAGTGAATGAAGAATGGTATTGGAAACCATCTGCATTTTAAGAGGTTAAGACCACCTTAAATTCCATCCCAACATACCCCCAAACAGAGCACATACAGCTTTTATGCTTTCAAAGCATTTTAAATGATTTAAAACTTCTCATTACAAGCCATAGATCCTCATAAGGGGACTAAGTGAGCACAACTCAGCTACACAGGATGGAAACCCTCAGCCACTGTGAACCAGTCTGTGGCCATGGAAAGAAGGCAGCAACATGGTGTCCACCTGCAAGTTAGATCTGATCTCCAAAGAACATGATGCTTCCTTCAGTGATTCGGGGCGTTTCTCCTACCCTTTCCTGCATATACTTCCTAGGCTGGAGATGAGATGACTTTTCTGACATGGTTCTTGGTAAATCTGTCATCTGAGCCCTGTGGTTCTAAAGATGATGAAAGACAGTATGTGAGAGAATGCAGGGATATGGCATGTAGCCGGCACCAGGTATCATCTAGTGAAAGCTTTGCAAAATGGCCAGTAGGAATGTCTACACTTGTTCCCTCCTAGGTCGATGAGGAATACATCAACCATGTCTTTTAGATGTTCATGGCTGCCAATTGCTCTGAAATAATTGAATCTTAATCTTTGGAAGAAATGTACCTGATAGACAGACCCTAGTCACATTACTTCAGTGAATTGAAACACACATGCATTCTCAAGTCTCTCTGTCTCTCTGTTCACATGAATGTGTGTTGTGCATGTGTATTCTCTGTATGTGTGGGCTCACATGAATATGTTGTGCATGTGTGTTCTCTGTGTGTGTGTGTGTGGTTCACATGAATGTGTGTGTGTGTGTGTGTGTTGTGCATGTTTGTGGAGGCAAGAGGTGACTCTCAGATGTCCTTCTTCCTTGGGCACTGTCTCTTTTGTTTGTTTGTTTGTTTGTTTTAGGGGAGGCTGTCTCACTGATCTGGAGCTGGCCAGAAACTGGTCAACAGGGAGCTCCAGGGAGCCACCATTTCTTCTCTCCAGTGCTGGGACTGCAAGTGCAGGCTACCATGGATCTTGTGATTGTTTGTTTTTTGTTTTTACATAGGTTCTGGGCCTTGAACTTGGGGTCTCATGCTTGCAGAGCAAGCACTTTACCAACTGAGCCATCTCCCGAGTTCTGGATTCAAGACCACAGTCTTGGACAAATCAGCAAGGTTGGAGGTCCTGCCGACACCACCACCCTAGCCATCAGTTTCTCTTATCCTCACCTGGACCACAAATCCAGGCTTGCAGGAAATGCTACTGGAACCAGGCTTTGGGTTCTGATACTGGTCTTGGGCCAGTCATGGGATCCTCAGTGTTGACTGTGGAAATGGTGATACTTCTTTTTACCAGAGAGGAAAGGCAAGGGATGAAGAGCCATGAATGTTGGGACCCTGCCTGCTTTACAACAGGTGCGCTCCTGGCCCTCAGTGACAGTTTCTCCATCCCCTTTTTTCCCACCTTTTTGCGTGGCATTGAAGTTTCCCCAGCAGCAAATGATAACTTCTATTTTAAACTCCCTGATATTTCTGGGAATGAAGGAGGCTTGTAAGTCATTTGACTACACGCACAGCCCTGGAAATTCTCATTGGTGAATCAAGGAAAATGCCTTTAGTTTTCTCTCAGAACTTCCTTTTAAAAATAGCTGGTGAATTGGACTGGTTTTCAGGGCAACAGTGGGATTTTGCTGGAGGGGGCTTGTGGAACTCCCCAGACATGCCAAAGAAGAGGGAGCACAATGAATGACCTGGCTCGGGACACGTCTAGAACAGGAGAAATCTGTCCAGTGTGCAGCCACTCTGGCCTCTGGCTTCACTCACCTTCATTTCCCCTTCGAGCCGAGTTCTCTGCTGTCTGCCTTCCAGCCACACTGACCTCGTTCTGAGGCTTGGAAATGTCCACGCTGCCACAGGACCTTTACTCGTGCTGTTCCCTACAGTCTTCATTCATCTTCCTAGCGTAATCCTAGACACTCAAAGCTTAAGGCTTTCCTTCACTCTCAGAGTATCTAAGTTCACACACACACACACACACACACACACACACACAGGGTCCCAATTTATACACATATACTCACACACACACACACATACACTCACACAAACACACACAGAGGTACACACACACACACACACACACACACACACACACACACCAGAGTATCCAAATTCAAATACACACAGACACGCACACACATATGCGTGCACCATAGTTTCACACATACACATACACACACACACATCAGAGTGTCCAAGTTCACACACACACACACACACACACACACACACACACACACACACGGTGCATGCATGACTGTTACACAGTAGGAACCTCCTCCCTACAGTTGTTCGTCTTGATTTCCAACTTGCTTGGACTGAGAAGCACCAAGGGATTCAGTAAAGCATATTTCTGCATGTCTCCTGAGACTGACTGAGGGAAGACCTGCCCAAACATGGCTAGCACCACACCCAGGTGGGGACTTAGCAAGCCCACGGTGCTCCTGTCCTAAGTGATGCAAACTGCTTTGCTCCTCCACATCTTCCCTCCATGATGGACTGAAGGCTCAAACCATGAACAAAACACATCTGTCCTCCCTCAGTGTGTCTGTGCCTGTGTAGTCACAGGAGACGCTGCACTAACACGGCCTGTTTGTCCATCACACAGTACTAGGTCAGTTAGAAGTTTTTCTGTACTGTCTATATCATACTAGTTTATATAACACATGTAAAACAATGTGAGATTGCCTCTCTGATGTTGTGGGATATTTGTACACTGTGTGAAGGTGTTTTGCTGTGATTGGTGTAATAAAAGCTGAACATCCAATAGCTAGGCAGGAGGTATAGCAAGATTTCCAGGGAAAGGAAGAGGAGGAGGAATCTAGGTGCATGAGAGAGAGAGAGAGAGACGTCAGGAGATAAGGAAGCAGCAGGATGGGTGGTACATGACAGAATGTAGATTAATAGATACTGGTTAATTTAAGTTATGAGAACTAGTTAGGAACAAACCTAATCTAAAGGCCAAGCTTTCATAACTAAGAAGTCTTCGTGTTGTTTTGGGGGCTGACAGAGGATAAGAAAGTCTGTTTACAATCAAGTTATGCATACCTGACAGCTGTGGGAATCTCGGCTCCCTTGTGATCATGTGTGCAGAAAGCAGAGGTGGGGTGAGGCACCTAGTCCCTTGTTCTAGAGTCGTGATTGTAACCTCAGCACTGCTCTGTTTCTGTTAAGCTCAGTGGGAACAGTGGCCCTTGCTGCTGAGTCTCACAGTCAGATTCTACCAGCTACCCTGGGGTGCATGATGCCCCTCTCCCTGCTACCCTGGGGTATGGGAATGGCCCCTGGCTGCACTTCTGCATCTTAGGGTTGTGACCTTGGTGATGCCTACAGGAAAGCTTCTTGGTAGAATGAGTCAGTGTGCCATTATGGTGCACAAGAGCTGAGCAGGACTCTAAGTCCCCCTGACACACTGGGTGTGTTTTCCCGTGGAAAGAGACTTATTTTACATCACTGTCACAAAATATCTGATCGAAACAACTTAACAGAGGAAGGGAGGTTCCCTGGGGGAGGGGCTCATGGTCTCAAAGGGATCTTAGTTCATTGTGGTGGGAAAGGCAAGAGTAGCTCCATTTGTGGCAGTGGGAACCCAAGGCAGTGTCTTAGTCACATGACAACAGACAGGAACCAGGGTAGGTCTAACCTTCTAAGTCCCACCCCTAATGCTCTATTGGTAAAATTATTACGGCCACTTCACGTAGTTAAAAGGGAGGCTTATTAGTGGCATAACTTACAAATGAACGGATTGGTAGGTTTCAGGGTCTGGGGATGGTGTGTCACAGTCCGGCGGTGTTCTCTGGAGAACTCTGCTCGGTCAACCTCCACCATCCAGGGTCCAGGAACAGAGAGAGAGTGGCATCTGGATCTCCGGTCTTCAGGGCGCTCTCTTGGCCCCGCCTTGTAGGCATGGCAGTTACCAAAGCCTCAATGGGGGTTGGAACTTCCAGATCAAAGCTGGAATGGCTACCCACTACAATGCTCTATTTCTACCAGCTAGACTCCACCTCTTAAAGGCTCCACAGACTTCAAAACTGTTCTGAGATGGAGATCCAGCATTCCAAACAAATGTGAGTCTGTGGGGGATGTTTAAAATTCAAATCATAACACTGAACAGCAGAGAAGTCACTAGAATACTGAGGATCCTACAAAATCAGTTTTCTGTTCTTGTTTCTCAACCAAGGAATTTTAAAAATATCATTTCTGAGCAGGTGAAAGTGGCTGAACAAGCAACTGTTTGACCTTCATATGCCTAAAAGATGCCTATGAGGGAGGGTACCACCTGCACCTCCAGATTCTCGTTGATGCCACAGCATGTGCTTCCCAGTAATAGACTTGTCTTCTTTAGGAAGGGGAGCCTGTTGGGTATGAGTTGGACTGTGCCCTTGAAGGATCTATTGGGACTTCAGCTCGTCCTTCTCTTTCTTTGCTTCTGACCATGGCGAAGTGGTCAGCTTTGCTCTATTATATGTGTGCACCTTGATGCATGGCTATGATGGATGGGAGGGTGAGGTTTGGGCATGGACTCATGGCAGATGCCCAGACAGTGTTGGATGAATGAATGATGAGAGATGAAGGCTGCAGACTCTGAATTTATTATGTCAAAGAACTGGTAAGTCAGAGAAAGCACATACACAAGTGTCACAACGCATGATGGAACACGTTGGGGCATTCACTTTAATCCAACAGACTTCAGTCAAAGGTGAGAAATGCACTTTCTATGATGCAGACAATATGAGATTTGTTTAGAGAAGGCCTAGGGGGTGTCCTTATTAGCTTTCACTAATCTTGAAGGTCTTGGGGAGGGGGTCCTAGTTACCTTTTTCTGAACTTGAGACAGCCCAGTGTTGCTTGAGAAGGGAGTGGCAGTTGAGGGGTTTCCTAGATCAGATTGGGCTGTGGTCATGTCTGTGAGGAGTTTAGATCAGAATGGGCTGTGGTCACGTCTGTGAGGAGTTGTCTTGACTGTTAGATCAGAATGGGCTGTGGTCACGTCTGTGAGGTCACATCTGTGAGGAGTTGTCTTGATTGTTAATTGGTGTAGGAGGGGTTATCCCATCGTGGAAAGCACTATTTCCAGGATTGATGGGCTGGGCTATATAAGGAAGCAAATCAATGCAGATCTTGTCAGTAATTCAGCAAGCAGTGATGGACTGTGACCTGGAAGTGTAGCCAAATAAACCCTTTCCTCCCCTTAGTTACTTTTGGTCAGAATGTTTTGTCACAGTGACAGAAAGGAACCTGGAACATGAGTCTCGGGGGACTAAGAAATAAAAATCTCATTCTCTAAATCCCTAATCACTCCTCTGAGCCAGTGTGATCTCTGTTTGTCTTGGTATGCTAGCATTACGTGTAGCCATGAAGGTCAGACATTAGTGCAGGAGGGGTGCACATGGTGAAGACTCAGTTGACACTGATTATGGAGAGCAGAGCTGGATAGACAGTAAGCAGCTCTGGAACCAGACGGCCCGAGTGCAAATCCAAGGTCTGCTTTCTAAGAGGTCTGCGGTATTTGTTGTTATTGCACTTCTTTGTGCCTGAACTCCCCACTTAAAAGGCCTTTTAGTTTGGGGATAAGAGGCTAGTGGGTTATGTCCCATGGGCTTATGAGACCAAGAGCTGTGGGGCTACATGGGCATTGGCTTCATTAGGTGGGAGGAGCCACTTGGAATCACGGAACAGTGTTCTTTGACTGGGCAGGTTAATACTCAAAGTTACTCTGAAGAAGTGAGGAGGAAGACAGAGGATGTTTGGGGTAGGGGAGTTGGACAGGGTTGGTAGCAGATTGAGGACAGGCTGGTGACACACTAAGAGGCTAGCATGGTAGAGCAGGGCTTCCTCCATCACTCTGCAACAGCAAACCCAAGGACTTGATTCAGAAGCCAAATGTCATCAGCACAGTGGGCTGAGCAGTTGTAACACCCCACTCAGGGGTGGGTCCCACACAGCTGAGGCTTACAGGGCTAATCCTCCAGTAAGCTGCCTAGGGACAAGTCTGTGACCTTGAGATGCCCTCTCAAAAAGGCAAGCAAATAGATATTCTTAGGATATAGCAGCTTCAGGAGGCAATGTCTCCAGGGTCCCTAATTTCCTGTTTCCTAATTGCTAGAAAGTTTCTGAAAGTGCAGGTTGTTGGGGCTCACCTCAAGTCTGTGTAATCAGATTATGGGAAATAAGAGGTGGGATTTCACATTTCAATCCCACAGCTAAGGGCATCTGATAGCCGCCCCCCCCCACTTGGACTCTGCAGCTCCACCTCAGATTCTATGTCAAGTGTGCCCTTGGAGGCACTGCAGACCCAGTTGTGCCCATAAACATGCCAATCTTGCCTCACAGAGACTCTGACTCACGAAAGCTAAGAATGGGGCGGGCACATGAATTTTAAGTTGAAAAATAAACAAAAGGTGTTTCCAGGGACTGGATTCATAGCAATCTGATTTTATTACTTCCTGGGCCTACAATACTCAAGAGCTTCACCATACAAGTTGGAGGCCTGGCCCTAGAGATACTAAGTCTGTGACCAAGGGAAGGGATGGTTCTTGAGCTGGACCAAAAAGTCCAGTCCTTCTGTCTGTCACTTCTCTACATCAAAGCTTTCCCCAGGCCTCGCTTTGCTGCTCTGGAAGATGTGGACAGTGATGCACACTTGTGGTGTCATGAGAAGGAAAAAGGGGAGGAATGAAAAGTACCTTGTCAACTCAAGGCCAGCTGTTGCCTTTTGAATGTAAAATGTCTCCCATGGGCTTGTGTGTCTGTGCACCTGATCCTCAGCTGCTGGTGTGTTTTGGGACACTGTAGAATTTTTGGGATATAAAACCCAATTGACAGATGTAGAATACTGGCCATGGTTCTAAAGGGTTATAACCAGCCTTCCTCCTGGTCCATTTTTAGACAGAGGAACGTGTTTTGCCACTGTGATGGAGAGCTGACAAGTACAAGCTACTGTCACTGGACATCAGATGGTATATTCTCTGAGCCTGGTTGCATGGCTCAGGAAGATGGGGCCTTTCAGTTCCTGTCTCCATGAGGATCAAGGAAACTAGCACATAGGACAGGCAGGGCTCAGCTGTCATCCTGCCACTTGGGAGTGTATTCTGTAAGACATAGTAAACACAAGGGTGATGCTCCAGGCTCTCCACACAGGGCTTGCTGTGGCTGAGTGAGACCTACTAGAACAGGCTTCTGAAGGCTCTGCATATGCTCCGTGCTCCAGCCAGAGATATAAATATGCCTCACACAGCGTTCAAAGAATCATTCTGCAGCCTACTCAGATGTCAAAATAATAACTCGGTAATGTAGGCAAGGAGGTAGTTTTGATGACTATTCCTCATTTGAAGTTATATAATATTCTCTCTCTCTCTCTCTCTCTCTCTCTCTCTCTCTCTCTCTCTCTCTCTCTCATGTGTGTGTTGTTATTGTTGTTAAGTGATCTAAAGTTTACTGAGTCCCTAAGGTCATAGGATGCCATCAAAACCTTTGAATTGGGCCAGTTCACGAATTGTCTGTATTCAAAGGAACTTGAGCATAAGGGCATACTAAAGAACACTTTAGGGGTAGGTGATATGATGCTATGTGGGAGAAGAGGCCTACTCCATGGTTACTTGACTCAACAGACTTATTGAAGGCTTTGAACAAGGGACAATACTGGGAACCACCCAGGCACGGCCCCTGTTCTCCGAGCTTGCAACCCATTCAAAGTGTAGCTCCAACACAAGGAGCCAGCCATATACTACAGTCATTTCTAAGTGTGGTATTTTCTGCAAAGAAACTGATAAATGGGGTAGCAGCTGCCTCGTGAGGTCCCACTCCTCCTTGAACAGTTGATGGGTGGCTGCGGGAGGGAGAGTAATCTTCCTCAATGATGTGGCCCCTCATAAGCTGACCAAACTTCAACAGCCTCACCCCTGCTCATGCAACCAACCCTAGCTAAACTTAGTGGGCCAATGACATAGAAAGAACATGGAAGTAAGGGGGGACTTAATTGAAAGAGGGGAGGTTCCAACAGCAGAAGGAGGGCCAAGAGAGAACAATGGGGGCATGAGTTGGAGCAAAGTATATGGATATAATTATCAATAAAAATGTGAAAAATAAATTAAATGGGACAAGAGATGATGGGCTCGGTGTGGCTGCAGAGGTACCATTTAAGACTCCAAGGCTAAAAACTTCACTCTATTGATGAGTGGGGGAGGATCACCATAAATGATGATCCCTCAGGCCAAGTGCTTGTGGTTGGAGAGAGCTGACGATGCTCAGGAGAAAAGGGGAGGGAGATTGACAGAGGGATGTGCCCAGGCAATGCTAACTCTTGTTATTTTTATTTTTCCCAAGTCTGTTACAGCTACGATTGCCAAATATAACCCAGGATGCCCAGATAAATTTGAATTTCAGATAAACAATGGGTGAGAGCTTAGCCTGAGTCTGTCCCAAATAAGGCACAGGACTTAAACAAAAACAAAAACAAAACAAAACCCCTCATTGTTTATCTGAAATTCACACCTAACTGGATGTCCTATATTTTATTGCTAATTCTGGTAATCTTAGTTGTAGTGGCCAACTAACTCCATGCACACTGGGAAGTAACAGAGGCACTTAGGTAGATTTTATAAACAGACAATGCTTTATTTTATGTTTTCTGTCTTGGTCTTGTAGGCCTATAAAGAACTGTCTGACCCTGCTGCGTAACCTGGAACAGGTTGCTTAACCTTCCCGTCCCAGTTGCCACACCTGAGAAGCAGGGTCCTAACTTGGATCTTCTGTACTGAGGGCCTGTCTGCAGAGGTTTGCTGTAAAGAGTACCTGGGGTTTGTATTTGAGGGCATAAGCAACTGCAGTCCTCCTGGCTGCTGAGACCAGGACCCCAGGGGGGTTGCCTACCAGGGGAGATGAACACTGCTGCTCTGTTCTTCTGGCCCAGGCTCCAGTTCAGACAGAGACCGCATCCTAACCGATTGTTTGTTTACAATCCGATGCTTCATTCAACACGATTTTTTTGGGTGGGGATTACTTCTGATTTTTAAACCTTTGAGTTGCATATTATCTTT